TATGATGAATGCCACACACCAGCCCAGCAGCTCATCGAGTGCAGGCGACCCAGTGTTCTTGATCTCCTCTCTGTGTGCTGACTTGCACTTTTCCACTCTGAGTACATGGAACAGTGCTGACCTGATGTGCTGAGCGCAAGCTGATGCATAGCCACTTTTGTATTGTCACCACAACAAGAAGTGTTGAAGGAACTTTGATACGCACGCAATCAAGGAGGTGCCATCAAGGGGTCGTCAGGCATGATTTATGGTGTTGGTGCCAGCAATTAACAACACGAAAGAATGCGCGACAGAAGGTACACAGGCACACACCATGAACGCGTCCTTGCCCTCCCACCAACAACACACAAGCAATTCAGTAACGTGGTGGTCCTTGGGGTCTCTCCAAACCTGCTAACCTGCGCCAGGCACTTGAACAACGCAACATGTGTGTTGTGGGTCACAAATACGTTAGGAGTGGGGAGAAAAGCAAAAAGTATCCACCTGAAAGCACGCAAAAGGCACAACAGAACACAATATGTACAGCCCATGCAACCCAATACACACACACCACACACACACACACACACACACATACACACACACACACACACACACACACACACACACACACACACACACACACACACACACACACACACGCACACACACACACACACACACACACACACGCACCATGCAGCAAACGCGCAAACGCTGTCCTTCTGCTCATGGTGGCCCAATGATATCCGTTCCTCGTCCCCCGTCGTCTCTTGCCCAAGCACGCCGTGCCAGCTCTCGCCCTCCACCACCACCCACATCAGCACTGGATCCATACACAGCTCCTTGCCCACGCCATCTCCTGCAGGTCAGCCTCCTGTGATGCTGCATGGAAGCTCACCACCATCACACTGCTGCTGCTGATGGTGGTTGTGGTTCCTATCTCATGTGGAAACTACTGTCCAATGGATCAAACAACAGAGGCGGTGTGATCCCTTTCCACGAAGCGATGCGACACTGGGCACATTGCGGCTCGTTTGATCTCTGTCGAATGAATGGCCGTTTGATTGGGCGGGTCAGGTCGGTGTTAGCAACAGTCGAGAGGTCGAGAGGTGGAGAGGTGGAGAGTGTCAACGCTTGCAAACACACACACACGCACACACACATGCACAGGATCATTCTCATCATCTCAGCCCTTCTCCCACCTTCTGTCCCACCATCGCCACCTCTACACACTTACGCGTACCTGATCACTGTGACAGCAGAGGTAACAGAACCACACCAAATATCATCATCATCATCATCATCATCAGATCAACACGCACCCATCATCGTCGTGTGCTCGTGGCCACCAACCAACCAGCCAGCCAGTGAGCACAACACACAAACTTGCCACTTCAAGTTCGGAAGATTGTGCGCATCATTCACAGACTTTCGTCAACCAAGCAACGCATGTCAACCAACCAACCACACACACACACACACACACACACACACACACACACACACACACACACACACACACACACACACACAACCACACACACACACACACACACAACATGGAGTGCTGGAAGCTGGTGGCTGCGCGCGTCATGTCGATGCCTGACGGTGGCGATGCGTCGGGCACGCTCCAAGGGTTTGACGTGAAGCACGAGGCAGATTGCGGCAAGGCACGCGCTTTTCTCAACCTCATGTTCACCTGCCGCGAGCTGTACCATGATCTGCCCTGGGCCGTGCCCAAATGGTACCTTGCGAAAGCGCTGGAACAAGCCATCAGCGACAAGAAGCCCAGGTACATGCCTGCGGAGCGCCCAAGCCACTTTGGCGCACAGGGCTCCGTGCCCGCATATTCCAACTTGGGATTTGACGACGACCCTTACCCCACCGTGTCAGATTGGCTCGACACCTTCCAAGCCGCGCTCCTCCCACCGCTGCGGGTGCGAAGAACCCCTGAAGACACCACCAGAAAGGACAGAAGCGAGGACAGAACGAGGACAGTGCGGCTGTGGCGACAGTGACAGCATGACAGTGTGGATGAGACCGCTCCTGCTACTCCGGCTCGGCGTGACGTGGTCCAGCGACCTCCCTTCTGCAAGCGCGGCTGAAAGCATTCGACCCTCAACCGACGACTTTGGCAGCAGTTGCTCAGCACGGACGCATCACATTCAAATGCATACGCAACATCAAAGCATGGGCTGCTGCAGTGGGCGCAGGACGTGCAGGGCAGCGACAGGGGAGGGGAGGGAGGAAGGCGCAGAGGCGCAGGAGGAGGCGGAGGAAGGAAGGCGCAGAGGCGCAGAAGGAGGCGGAGGAGGAGGAGGAGAGGAAGGAGGAAGAAAAGCAGCAGCAGCAGCAGCAGCAACAACAACAACAACAACAACAACAACAACAACAACAACAACAACAACAACAACAACAACAACAACAACAACAACAACAACAACAACAACAACAACAACAACAACAACAACAACAGCAGCCACACCCCGCCCTGTTTTATGCCACCGTCGAGTTCAACAGCCAAGCAGAGGTGGACCGCTTCAACGAGCTGCGTTCCACAGCGTTGCGTGGTGCACGTGCAGAGAAATTGGACGTCACAACCAGAGCACCGCTGGCCTCCCTGACTGTGTGCAACGCAAACACGCTTGTCTTGCAGGACATGTTCCATATGGTGGAAAGCGTCACTTTTCGCGACATTGGACATATCCGATGGCGCAGCATATCGTCCGAGCAAACCACCCTCCAAGGCGAAGTGTCCAACGTCGGCGGCATCAATTTTCATCACAGCATCGAACGCAACAGCTTTGCACTGTTCGCCGGCTTGCACAGCATGAGGATCACAAGCCAACACGCGGACCTGACACCGCTTGCTGGCATCAGCACGCTGGTGCTTGACCGTGCGACCGTGGACAACCAGTCTGTGCTTGCAGATGTGGAGGAGCTTCATATGCACCAAACGCCACTGGAGATTGACACGCTCAACGCCAAGCGCATTACGCTAACGTGTGGGATGCCGGCTCGCGTTCATCTTCCCAACGCCACTCACTTCTGGTTGATGCAGGGAGCCTCGAACAAGGATGTGGAGTTTGTGCTTCCACCACACCTCGACACCATCGCGATAGAAAGCAGGGACCCAAAGATTCCACAGTTTGAGCACGCGCGGGTGCTGGACCTCGACTGCTATGAAGAGGTCGACCTGTCTGACGTGGCACACCGCGTCGACAAGCTGGTGATTCGCAGCGCACGCATGCTGCACACCAATGCCAGCGACCCCTTGGGCGGCCTGCTGCATGTGCCAGACAACGTGCACGTGTGCTTGGACGACGTCCGCAACCCCCTGACCCGGAACGTGCTGCCACCATGCGTGAAGGAGCTGTCTGCGTATGGTCGCACAATTCTTCGCGAATGCGAAACCGGCGCGTATCCGCGTGACGCCCTTCGTTTCGAACACGCTTCTGGCACATGCTTGGCCAACGTTCCACTGCTTTCCCTCACTAGCCATCGCCTGCGCGACGTGGATGCCCTGCGTGGGCGGAGGCAGCTTCATATGACCCATGTGAAGCAGCTTGATGGCGAGATCAGCGACTGCAACCACGTGTCGCTCATGGCTTGTAAAGGTACTGCTGACGTGAGCGGAATCACATGGTTGTCGCTGGTGCAGGCCTTCATCATGGCAAGCGATGATGGCGGTGACAACCCAAGTGATCCCCATCGCAAGATACCGAAACATTTGCTGCATGTTCAGCGCATTCAACGTGTGTTCATGTGTCAACTCTCCTTTTGCAAGATCGTGGATTCCTCCTGCTTCCGCAACGTCCACTGCCTCGTCCTGAAACGCTGTGTGTTCGATGACCTGAGTGCGCTGACGTCGGTTCGCTGCCTGGCGGTGCGTGGCTGCACCAGTCTTGACGAGCAGTGGTCGTGGCCGGATGTGGCGCTGGTGAACCGAACACCAGAGGATATGATGGCCGTGCTCGAGAAGGGGGTGAGGAGAAGGAGGTTTTGCTGAGCGAGAGAGAGAGAAAGTGTGTGTGTGTGTGTGTGTGTGTGTGTGTGTGTGTGTGTGTGAGTGAGATATTGTGTGCCTCAGCCTCGTGTAAGTGTTCAGCCTTAATGTCCTGGATGTTCTCATCACCACTCCAAGCCAATTCGAACCTGTGCATGCGCTCGTTGGGTCTTTTGCCAATCAAACACCTCAGCAGGCACAGTTCAAGCCGGATCATTTGCCACCACACCCACAAATCGCCAACAAGCAAGCCAACAAGACGGCAAGAAACAACAACAGACAGCAACCACCACCATCAGTGTGCTCCACCAGCACCACCTTCTCCTCGTCCTCCTCGCCGTCGCCTTGAGTGACGCCACTAGATCTTGCAGCCTTGAAACAAACACTGACACGAGCAGCAGGATGTGGGGGAGCCGAAGCAACAGCGGTGAGCTGGGCGAAGGCAGCGATGAGCCTGTGATGATGAAGGCGGGCGTGGTGCGTGCGTTTGGGCCTCCGGCAGCACTCAAGGTGGAGTCTGTGCCCATTCCTTCCTTGTCTGAGCCCAACGAGGTGCTGACGAAGGTGTTTGCCACGGGCGTGAACCCTGTGGACACATACATTCGCGCGGGAAAGTATGCCAAGCTGCCGCAGCTGCCGTACACACCAGGCGCAGAAGGCGCTGGCGTCGTGGCCAAGGTCGGAGCGGATGTGAAGCACGTCAAGGTGGGCGACCGCGTCTATGTGACCGGCACCATCACGGGCACGTATGCGCAGTACTCGCTGTGTGCGGCAAGGGACGTGCGCTTGCTTCCGCAGCGCATCAGCTTCGCTCAAGGTGCTGCCGTCAGCGTGGCCTACCGCACAGCATACCGTGCTCTCTTCCAGGTGCGTGTGTGTGCATGTGTTGTGAGGGACAGAGGTCGTGTTGGGTGCTTTCAATTGTGTACACCTTGGTGTGATTGCCCCCTTGCTTGCTGAATCTGCGGTTGTGGCGTGTGGCTTGTGTCTGCAATGTGCAACCCGCAGCTTCACATCACCAGCGGCACTCATCCCTCCGCCTTCTCCTCTGCCTCTTCAAGCCCACCATCACGCTGCTATCTTGCATGCATGCATGCTTGTCGGTGCGCAGAAATCGTCTCCAAACCCTGGCGAGACTGTGTTGATCCACGGTGCGAGCGGCGGTGTTGGCCTTGCTGCCGTACAGCTCGCCGTGTCGCGTGGCCTCAAAGTGTTTGGCACTGCGAGCACAGATGTGGGCAAGGAGGCCATCCTTGAACACGGAGCTGCGGCCGTCTTTGATCACACCTCCCCGACATACGTACAGGAGGTCGGTGTGTGTGTGTGTGTGTGTGTATGTGTGTATGTGTGTGTGTGTGTGTGTGTGTGTGTGTGTGTGTACATGTTCTGCTCTTGGTCGCTGTATCTCCTGTGGCTTCACAGTCATGTCCATCGCCCCTCAATAACCCGCCATCCTTGCTATTGTTGTCGCTCTTGTCGTCGTTGGCGTCATTCAGATCCAGCGCGCTGCGCCGCCAGAGGGCATTCGCCTCATCGTCGAGATGCTCGCCAACATCAACCTCAACAACGACCTCAAGGTGTCGTGTGTGTATGTGTGTCTGTGAATGTATATGTGTGTGTGTTTGTTTGTTTGTTTGTTGCATTCTCACCCCACCTCCCTGGCGTAATTGCATTCACACGCGCGCACACACACACACACACACACACACACACATACACACACACATACACACACACACACATTTACGCACACACATTTACGCACACACGACCAACCGAGGACGCCGATGATGGTTGACTCCTTCTGCATGATGAGACGCGGGTCAATCGTCACCTCTCCTCTGTTGCCGACAATGGCAATGCGGCCGCCCCGCCCAATCATCTGCGCACGCACGTGCACACAC